TTCTAGAGAAGCTTCCGAATGTCGCTTACTATCCTGGTGGTGCTGGCAATTGGAGTTTTTATGCTATCTCAAACATTTTGCTGCTTTCTATGTTGGAGATTGGGTCATTCTTGTTTTTTAATCATTTTATACTGCGTAGATTTCAGTTTTCTCCTTTGTACCAGATTGCTTTCGTACTTGAAACGCAAGTGTGCCAGGTCCAATCAATGCTGGTATTCTCGCTTTTCATTCTTCTAACTTACGAGCTCGCTCATCACGGTATGTCACTTGACTTTTGTGTTTGTTTCGGAACTAATTGCTGCTAAATATGAATGTAGGAGTTGACTTTACTTTTCAATTCGATTGGATCCGATAACAAAAAATGAGCATACTGATTAACAATTTCTTCTTATAACTTGAGAAATGTGGATTCAAGTTTGAAATCATTCGTTGTGAAATCACTATCTTGGGCAGGCCAGTTGCGTAGAGGTCGGATGATGCCAGGCTGCTACGCCGAGCTCTGCTGCACGCAGCAACCAGTCGATACGTTAGGCTGCTTTTATCTGATTTTTGACCGAAATTTTCGAACATAACAACTCAAACAGAAAACGTGTAGGTTTTGTTTTCGCAGAATAAATTATTATATCTGAAACAATCACATTCGCGCAAATTTTGCTGAGATACCGTTTATTAACGTAGACTAGCAGCTTGAATTACACACCTAAAACTTCGCGAAGTCAGATGCACGTCCTAGAGTACTCGCGTTGATTAATGATTAGTCAGACTGTTATTGTAGCCTTGCAGATTCACAGTTTTGCTACTTTCTTGCTGTAGTCGTAGATTTTTGTCCCGAACCGAAGTCCGTTTTTTATTTAATCCGATTTGGGTTTGTGGGTTATTGATATCACATCTTTCTTCTTTGTAAATGGGTAATGACTTGTGCAGATGCACATGTACATGAAAACTACTTTTTCTGATACTACCTTCGTCAGTCGCGGTTTGTCATATACGCTGGTGCTAAGCGATTCAATGTGGAAAGAACTTCTGCAAAGTTCTCACTCTAGCTCTTTACTAATGAGGACCTAGTTGACAGGGTCGATTCCGCGATATTGATCAGCCATAACGCTGAATTGCGGGCTTTTAACGCATGGTTTGATGCTCCTGGGTTTACGTTCGCGTGCGATGTACACCTTTGAAGCGTACACCTGCTCGAAATTGTTACAAGACATTTCGATCCAATCGCTTTATCTACCGAGAAAAGCTGATCCAGGATGCACAACTAACATAAAGGGTTATTTGCCAGGCTTCGCCGCTCAAAAAACCAAGTGATAGAATTTAACTTGCTTCGAGTCTGGTGTTTCTGCATTATATCAAGACGGAAGAGAAAGATGGAGCGCCGTCGCCCAACAAATCTTGCCATAGTGGGACACCAATTTGTATCAATTTATCGACAAGAGATCATTTTCTTTAGTCCATCGGAAACTGGTAACATAGTCTATGTATCTACGTCGGTGACTAAACGTGCAACGTGGGAGTGGACCACCTTGTCGGACAGCTATTCTCTCTTTGCTAGATTCGTGAGCCCTTGTAGTCATAATGACACATGAAAGTCTCGGAGTGTATCCAGCTTGGCACTGAATGAACTTTTCAGCTTACAAGTTGTCCGATTGGCTTAATGGACTGCAGGCAGTCTAAAACTGCATACTTGCGCACGAAGTTGAATGGACGTATCAAGCTTCTTCTTACAGTCTCGTTAGTAACGAGACACGAGCTAATCCACAATAGCTTCAACATTTATGGAGTTCACCCGCAGGCCATGCGTCTAGAGAAGCAACCAAGAAGCCAAGCAACCCAGAAGTGGTCTCGTCGGCACAGCATACACTGGTCTATTTTGACAAACGGTGGGGCTTGCAAATATTAAATGTTAAAGCCCACATCCAATTTTCGTGCTCTGCACGACTAGAAGCCAATAAATCTGATTATGCAAGATGTGGCCCGACCAGTTGATTCACCAGAGAAAATTGTGTCGTCTGTGCGTTAGATAGTTTCTGTGTTATAAACAACTGCTTTCAGAGCATCACGCTCCAATCGCTCACTGCGGTATGAAGGATATAGTTGCCTATCATGAGCTGTTGATAATATTTAATATTATGAGCAAGGGTACTAAACAAGAAGCAACCGACTTTGCTAATCCGCGGTACATAAATTCATATGATCAGCGTTTGGGCCGAACCTATGGCTGTGGTAAGCTAATCATAAGCATGACTTGCCGTGACTCCACCTGACACATAGCGTGACGCCAAGTGGGGAGTTTATACAAAATAATAGATTCCAGATCTTACGTGTTCGTTAGAATGCTATCATCTCTCTTATCTCTTGTCCAGGGCTCATATCGTTTAAGTAAGGATTTGGTTTTAGGAATCATGTAAATTACTCGATATGATATGGTAATTGTTACGGGAGCATCACGCTTGCTGTGTCTCTTGTCACGGCGTGGTAGTATTTTCAACAAAAGGTAAAAGGATTTGCTCGATTTTTAAGGGAGCCAACCAAGCCTTCGAGCCTTTAAGCGCCACTCGATGCATGTGCATTCAATCAATGTTATCGCAAATTATGGCTATTTTTAGCAGCTACTCGCTGTGTAATGGCTCAACTCTTCTGAACTTCCTTAGCATGCCAAAGCGTGACACGTTGCTTTTAACAATTAGTAAGTCTCCGCTGTTAGTCATGCGTCTCGTAAGGCGGGTATCAATTTTTCAGGGCTTGGAATCGTTAAATTCGACCCTTATGAGATACAATAGCTCTCCTTGGTAAAGCAAAAACATCTTAACAGGCGCGCTTGTTGTGTAGACGACAATCAACAGCTCCGAAAATCATCTTATAGGTAGCTTTAAACGAGCTAACGTAATTGCATTCAGTAGATCTTCGACCTGAACCCCAACCAACACTCGGCATGAAATTTATACATGTGACAACCACTCGAGCGCAAAATGTCAGGGGGGACGTGCAATATATGTGTGTCATATTTTATCGACTCTGGTAGATGTTATCGCCGTCGAAAAAGGGTTCAATGCCATCGCAGCGAGAAGTTTTCGCGATCTTGTTATTAGTAAACAAGAAAATCGATTATGCGATACGTCTGATTAAACAGTGTATAACCGTGATACATATTCGAATATTTTCATCTCGACAATACCTCTGTCAGAATGGTACTGAACGCCAATTTCCATTGTTGCATACAGTCTCTTAACTTGTCAATCGCAGCTGCGACGGGCTATTGATTAATCAAGAGCCCTGTCACATTCTTAGACATCTCAGCTAACTTCATTCAGCAGTAAACATGTACTTTGTCCCAGTTCGCGAAGGGATTGACGCTCATCAGTGGATGCCTCGCGGTTGATGCCATTTGCGCATTTGCCAATGCATAGTCGGTGGGTTACTTGTGGTGTCTCACCAGCGAAAGTACATCACCGTTAGAAGTCTGTAAACAGGCGATTATGGCTTCTCTTCTTTGGGTTGTCGGTTCCCAGGTCTCTTCATGACCAACAACTACCATAAGCTAACCGATGATGACGTGTAGAGAAGCTTCGCTTTCAAGAGTCCGCGTTAGTAAACGCATTGATTAAAAACACCGGATACGAGTAGAACCGAGAGAGACATTGAAAATGATCACTTAATTTGCTATTCTAACTCAAGCGCGATACACATCTAAGATGACTTCTTATCGAACTAATAGTAAATTTACACGTTTACTATATTCTTCAAGAAGTTATCTGAATTGTTTGACGTGAGGCTAACAGCCCACGGACGTCACGTCTTCTATGTGTAGTTGGTATCGCTACAAAGTGTAAGAAGAATTTAGTACAGTTGTTTAAAATTGTATTCTTTCAATTTCACAGAATACGTATGTACACAATTTCGTTCAAATGTCGCGTAGGATTTGTTGGATGAACATCCTTTGCCGGGGGGGGGCTGTAGTCTTGCAGCGATCCGATTGTAGCTTTATAGAGATTCGCATTTATAAATTTAAAGTTTTCTGTGGCTACTATTCCTGACTAATTCATGTATTCAATTACTGTGAGAGAGGTGCGCCAATTCCGCACAGACTTGGTGCACTTGTGGAGACAGTAGTCGAGCCCAACTTCTGACGAGACTCTCTCTTGTTCCAGGTGCTAGTTAAGAATCGATATATGCGATCTTTTTTGAGTCGTATCAGAAGCCATTACTATCATAGCATTTACATCTTTAGCGCAATGATAAACTTGTCTGAGATTCGCATACAGCTTGTGACCTTTCATATCCTGATGTACCAAACGAACGTGATCGAGACAAACAAACTTCCACGGCGGTCTGTTTCAGATCTGATGCAGCGTATTGTGCCCACAGCACGACAGCGCCAAAGTCGGTGCAATTAAGAGGTGACCTTAAAAGTACTAGTGCGCAAAGTAAATATCGATGAAGCATTGGTCGAGTGATTCGAAAACTCTATCGTCGACGGCCGACCAGCTAAACCGGACGCTGAAGAGCTTAAATCTCTCTGCTTGGTCATGAATCTGTACCCGAATTCTGACGGACAGTCGTGGTGTCGGCCCAGCGAAGCTGTACGGACTTGCTAAGTTCAGCGCCGCATCGAAGCTTTGGCAGAATTCCGCGACCCAATCGAACTGAGTCTGCAAAATCGCAATGGATCTGTCTAAAGGCATCGAAACATGGTCGTTCTTGTGTAGGAGTCACTAAGCAGATACAATGTTCCTTCATGCGAGCGAAGAAGATTGACGAGCGAGTCTGTTGTCAATATAAAACTGCGAAGCACACAGCGGGCTTCTTTGTTTTAAAACACGCGTTGGCTACTTGATGAACAATCGCGCGAGCAAATACATATACAAAAGTAGGGTGAACTAGCGGACAAATCCAGATCCAAACCCGATGCACTTAGGCAGCCGGAGGAAGTAGTTGTAGTTGACGCGGTTGAACGCGTTCTGAAAGGCAAAGAATAACGTGTATGGCACTTCATCAAGGTTTGTGACGCACACCTGGGAACTAGAAATCTTATCATGTCATATGAACCTAACTTAAAATAAGTTTGCCACAATCTTCATTGCAATCACTGCCCATATTGATGAGATTCGTGAGTGCACATGATACTTGCGTATAATATCACAGTTGTGACAACCTTTTGTAAGCACTACTCGGTTTCGCGTCCTTTATAAAAGTGTCGCCTGTAAGGACTCAAACACTTCCTTATTCACTTGCGGAGGTGAGACCATCTATCAAAATTGAGGTTCCTCATCCAGTTAATGAACAAGTTAAAGGCGCGCTTCTTGCGCATCAAATCTTGTGTTAGTAACTCATGTTTTTTCTAAGTATTACAACAACAGTGCGCGTATGTGGCTCTTACTGTCATATATCAATTTTATTAAGGCTTTCCGGCTTAACTATGCAGCCGATATGGAAATATGGGGCTAAATACAATACAATAACTGCCAGACGTAGTTTGGAGGACATTATACCACAACCGTTAAGTTTTACTGTGGATCTGTACAGCTCACTTTTTAAGTCTGTTTGCATGTCGAGTTCTGTGACTTAGATTCCGTCTCTATCCTTCATTGTTACCAACATGGGACACACATTGTTGGGATTCCGGGAGCTACGGTCAGATTCATTTGCTGCAGTGCAATCGCCAAGATAACGCTGTTTGACTCGAGATGTTTGCAGTCGGCACTATCGACTAAAATTACTTTGTGGTGACGCGAGACCCTTATGCTAATAATTTAGTTTCATTATAGAATGTGTGTTTGCTTGCATGTCTTTCGCATCTATTTCAGCACCAGAATGATATTGTCAAAGTATCACGACCAAAACACGATCTATTCGCCGACAAAATCTCATTTCTCACTTTATTCTCAATTTTCTGTTCAACCGATCAAGCAAAGCCTTTAAGTGTTTCTCATACGCTTAAATCGCAAGTGTGGCAAATTTATTCTCTCGGTCATTAATCTATCGCTCATGACAGCATGTCATTTAACATTTTCGTTTGTATGGATGTCGATTGAACAAATCCTGTAACATTTGTATTCTAGGTGTCTTCCGACTAGCTTAAACATAGAACGTAACCCGCACAAGTCGGTTACAGCTTCACAAGTCAAAACCCAGATGCACAGTCGTCTCGAAAAGAAATGGAACAACATCCAAGTTGGTCGTCAAGGTTCTTATTCAGTCGAACGACTCGAAAGCTTCAATGCGTACTGCGAAGCCACTTCTCATACTCGTGTAATTCTGGTATGTAAACTCGTTCCGATACCTACTCTAGCGCTTGCGATCTTCCTGGAGTGCTTACCGCTCCGCCACCCATCTGAGGGATGGAAGGCAAATTGGATGTTTTGGATTCGTCAGACAATATTGGTGATTGTGACGACATTGTAAGGCACTCTCAGTGTCAAGATGTTCATACCGGTCTTGAATGTGTCGCCTGTACAGACTTTTGCAATTCCTTTTTTGCTTTCGGTGCTGTACATGACAACCGTTTTAGTAGCCGCTAGCAAGATTGGGTATCCTCTTCCATTTATGGTACAGCTTGCATATGGGGTGGTTGGAGCCTATATGTTGGTAGTCTTTCTGCTTGTGCTGGGCAAGTCACCATTCACAAGCGAATCTATTTGTCGGCCATATTTACTACGATTTCAGCGATATCAATATGGGTACATTGCGTTCACTATCATATATCCCTTTTGCAAAGCGCTTCACGATTCAATTCATCCACGTATCGAAACTTCCTAGTGTTGATGCTGCCGATATTGAAATTCGGAGCTAAATATATTGCAATAACTGCCATACGTGAATTGGAGGACATCATACCTCAAACATCAAGTTTTACTGTGGATCTGTACAGCTCGCTTTTCATGTCTGTTTGCATGTCAAGTTCTGTATCTTTGATTTTGTCTGTATCCTTCATTGTTGCTGACTTGGGACTAACATCATTGGAATTTCGCGAACTTCGGGTTAATGCATTTGTCGTAGTGCAATTACTCAATCAACAACGTATGTCTCAAGATTTGTCGCAGACTGGTTCACCAGATTTACTCGCAATGATCCTTGCAGTGACGCGAGATCCCCACGCTTATAATATAGTCTCAATGCGTGGTGTGCGATTGCATGCATGTCTTCCGCATCCTCTTCCAGAAGATTGTTCCAAGCAACTTCAAATTCTCGCAGCATCAGGATTATATTGTCAAAACGTTGCGACCAAAATACGTCCTATTCGCCGACGCAATCTAATGTTTTTTTCCAAAAGTTCTGTTCAACCGGTTGAGCTTAACCTTGTGAATGTTTTGACGAAACAACAGACTAAAAGAATTGCTAATATTCCCAAAGTCTCTGATGTGAGAACAGAAAATGGCAGAAGGTCGGAATATTTAGTTTTACAAGGACTCCAATTTCTATTTCATTGTGAATATTTGGCACTAGTGGAATACATTGAATGTGTTGTTCCGATCGTATACGTCATTTACAAGTCAGTGCTCGAATTACTTCCAAATGTCGTTTACTTTCCTGGTGGTGCTGGCAAGTGGGGTACCTTTGCTATATCAAATATTTTGATCTTTGCTTTGTTGGAAATCGGGTCGTTTCTCTTTTCAGATCAATTTATACAGCGCAAGTTTAAGGTCTCTCCTATGTATCAGGTCGCTTTTGTACT